TGTTGCAGGGCACAGTGACAGCTAATCTAGTGAAGCTTCGTGGCCTAAATGCTATAAGTAAAGATAAATTTGATTCTTTAAAACCATCAGATTGTAAATTCCCGCATATGTATGGCTTGCCAAAAATACATAAACCCAACATTTATAAAGGGAACTAATTGTTTTAAATATAAATAACTATTGAGCTGATAGGCAAAGAGCAGTTACTTATTTGAAATCTCTGTTGAATCTACAATCCCACTCACATTGAATGGATAATCCATGAAATTAATCAAATCCCAGCAAATATGTTTACTTAATGTGAGGAATTATCTAGAAGGAACTGTATAAGTGGAGATTGAGAAACGGAAGTTAGTATTACGTAAAAGATGTAAAAACGATAGAATCGACTTTTACCATAAAAATGAACATGAGATTAGCGAAGACAATAAAGTATTGAAGTGAAATCTGCATTAGAAATGAGTTATTAGTGAAATAAAGTTAGGAATATTACACTGGCCATACTCAGAGAAGTGGGTATGTGCACTGCTTTTGAACAAGGAGATCAGTTATATAGAGTCCCGACATTTTGGTGATTAAGCTGTACATAGACGGCGTATTCGAAGCTTTGTACTACACTATTAGGGTAGTCTGTACATAAATGTAAAAACTTCATGCAGAGCTGCCCAATGTCCAGGGTTGACATGGCACTACTTGACGAGAAATCCATTGATATCTTTTGTTTCTTCTCCGATGATTCAAGCTGGAAAATTCTAGAAAATAAGCCTATTGACTTGAAGATCAATGTATTATGGTCTACAGGGACAAGTGATCTGGTAAATTTAGGCTTCACTGTTATCCATTTTATGTTGTTTTCTTTCTGGATAATTCGTCATAATACGCAGACTATTTTGTAGAACACAGTTGCCGCTAGCATATCTTGTCCCTTCCATATCCATATCAGTTAGAGAAAACTATGAAATGCTCAATATATATATATATAGTGAGTTGAAAAGGGTTGGAAATTATTCGGCAGTGAATTCCACCTACCTAACTTAATGGCAAAGTGCGTCGGTGGCATAGCGGTTAGGACTCTCGCCGAACATGCACATGGTCCGGGGTTCGATACCCGGCCGACGCACTCCTTTACCTCACTGAGCTAGAGACAATGCTGGTAAAGAGGAAAGGTTGGGTATGAGGCTAGCAACCCCATCCTGTAAAATAAACACTGCTACAGAAACTTCAAGCCAGTGGCTTGAAGCCCTATGTTCCACTGGGGAACGTGAAGGAAAAAAAACTTAATGGCAGTGTGTTCGCACTAGTACTCCAAACCTTCAGAATTATTAGTTCGTAGGGGTATGCTGCAGTTGAAGAATCAATGTTCGTTCCAAAATTTATGCCAAATGTTCTTTCACTTTTAGTAGCTATCTAATTTCCGGTAATTGATAATAAATTCAACCTACATACATCCAAAAAATTTAGTTTTATTTTAGTTTCCGAAGTAATAAGATAAATATAGAACTAATTTTAATGCTTGCTTGTAAGAAAAATTAGTTATAACAAAATTTATAGACTGAGCTAATAAATAATAATTATAAGTGTACATAAGAAGGTGGACAGTGATAGGAATAAAAAGCGCTTATAAGTTGAAAGGTAGAAAGGAAAGCACTTAGCCAGGGAATTCCAACAACTTGAGTTAAAGCAGAGTTACATTACAGTAACAATGAAATTGAATGAGAAAATTTGTTCTTTAATTGAACTGACCAATCAAAAGCATAAGATGAAAAAATCACTTTGAATTTCAGTAAACAGAAAATAATCTAAACAGTATATTTATTTAATGAAGATATTAAAATATGATAAACTTCTGGGAAAGATTGAAATTGAACATAAGATGAAATGCATAGTTTACTTAAGAATAATAAGTAAAACAAGAGTAGAAGATAGTGAAATGAACAAGTTAAACGTTTAAGTGTATTATTAGAGTGATGCAGTTTAGTTGTTTTCTCTTTTTTTCGAAAATTCTCGACGGCCACATCAGTATCTGAGACCTAGAATCGTTCTCACTAGGAATTTATTCCAACAGATATAACTTCGTATCTGAAAAAGTCACCCTTAAAGCACTCAAGTTATTATATCCTTAATTTTTTACTAGAGAGTTCAATTAACATTGGAACTTCCAGCCTAACCTGTTGACACAAGAACTCTTTAATAATAATAATATAATAATAATAATTTGCTTTATTCCAGAAACAATACTAGTGGTACAGTGTGGGATTTTCAGCACATATCTACAATATTTGCATCTAATTTTATCAAAACATTAAAAAGGAGTATTTCAAAAAATAAATATAAAGACAACAACAGAAAAGCATAAAAATTATTTTTGAAGAAAAATGCGGAAAAATACCAAGAAGTAGAAAGGAAAATAAACAACATAAAATAATTGAGCACTGTGGTACAGTATGACTCCATAATGGATAAGATTTTATTTTGATAAATCACACAGTGTTGTACAGTTATATTAACTGATGACGTTTGAAATGATTATGAGCAATAGTTTATGCTCGAAACGTCATCAGTTAATATAACTGTACAACACTGTGTGATTTATCAAAATGAAATCTTATCCATTATGGAGGAACATAAAATAATGTCTCAGTATTGGGTAGTGGAAGCTGTGATATGATTATGCATGGTGACAGTAAAGCTATAGTCATACAAGAAGTTATGAAATGATATTTGAGAATGTTTATCGCCAAGATTATCAGTTAATTTGGTTGAAACATTTGTGACCAAATCCTGATTACACTTGTTAGTCAGTTGTAGTTGAATACCAAACTCACCACTAATCTCAATTAAAGCATTAATAGAGCCTTTGATTCAGTTACACTGAAGAAGATGGAACCTGTGAGTCGAATTAGTTTGGTATCGATTACTAAACTGAGTGAAGACTTAGTCATGAAAGGTTTTGAAACACCTATGCACTTAGCTAATACACCAAATAGGCAGGAAGAAATGGAGATGGATTGGCCATACTCTCAGGAAACCATCAAGTGACATCACTAGACAAGCCACTGCTCCAGTGGAACCCGAAAGGGAAGCGGCGAGTTGGTCGTCCAAGGATGACTTGGAGGAGGTCATGTGAAGAGGAGATGAAAACGTGTGGGTAGACATGGAGCCAGGTGAAGACTCTAGCAGAGAACAGAACGCAATGGAGACGCACGGCTGAAGCCCTATTTTCCTCTAGGAATTAAAGGATACAATAATAATAATAATAATACATCGGCTGAGTTCGTTGAGGTTTATTGTGCCATTCCCACTGACTGGGTATATTAGATCGAAATATTCGGTCTATATTGATATGTCGATTTACTGTACAAATGCTTCGACGATGTTCGGTCGATGACAGCTAGCAGTATAATGCTCTCTCATCTGGATGCACTTGCAGACCCCAGGAATTAGTAGTATTCTCACAAAAACTCGAAGCTATTGCTGTTCGCTTCAAACGCCAGGGAGTTATCCACTTGGTCACTTGCGACACGAAATCCACCACTTCTAAAATTGGTTTCAGTTATTAACCATTTAAGTTTATTTGGTATTTCCCGTTGGTTGACTGTATTGGACCGAAGTGTTCAAAATCAACTTCAACAAATAAAAATTGATACCCATTTCACAAGTGGTGGATTTCGTGGCCAAAGTGATCCAGTGGGTAACCTTCCAGCCTTTCAAGCGAAGGGTACTGAGTTCGAGTCTCTGTGTGAACACCATCACTCACTGGGGATCGCAAGTGCAGCCACCTGGGGATTCCGAAGTCAGCACCCACCAACCAATGATAGCAGAATGTTTAGAGTGAAAGACCGAAAAACTGTAATGAACTTTCACTTACTTGAAGTCACTTATTATGACGTTAACTAAAGGCTGGGAAGAAGTGTTATCAACAATCAAACTGAATTTCAGGATGATACTTCCATCGATCAAGACTACTGGTTATCATTTACGATCCGTCCAACACTAGTATTCTATTTTCGGCCAAGTTAAACTTTAAGCACCACTAACTACCAATTGAGTGCGACGCACCAATGACCTTGAAGCAAGTTTCAGATGGGGTTTGGGAAAGATAAAGTTACGGTGTAAGACAAGGACAAGTTAGGGTTAGGCTAACCTAATAAGGGCGAAATTATTGTTGGTTCGAGTTGGATTATAGTTAGTTTAGGGATAATTTCACATTTAGATTAGGTTAAGGAAAGATTAGGGTTATTGTTAGGTTTAGAAGACCTAAATAATAACATTCATAGAATGTGGTTAAATTACTCTGTTGGTAAAAGAATAGAACGTGTGCACTGTGGTAGAGAATAATTCCATTATGGGTAAAATTTATTCTGATACAGTCTCACAGTGTTATACAGTAGTATTTACTGATGACCACGTTTCGAGCACAATTTATTCCTCAGTAAATATAACTGTATAACACTATGAGATTTTACCAAAATAAATTTTACCCACAATGGAATTACACTCTATTGATACTCCAACCTAAAACTGAGAACTACTTTTATCACACTGGAGAGGAAGGTATCCTCCGCAAAGCTTTTCTACAGTTTTTATGCATTCTGTTTTCAAAAATATATGTATTCCATAAACAAAAATGCCTCCTTCATGTGATTGGTGCGTTCGAGGTCATTCACTGATTGGTAGTTAGTGGTGCTTAAAGTTTAACTTTGCCCTATTTTCAAAATATTATTCACGACGAAATGATCAATTGATGATATCGACCCTTAAAATCAATAGAATTAGTAAATTAATACAAACGGACAATATTTTAAAAAAAAATCAATATTCGGCTATCAGAATAAATGATGCTGTCTATCACAAGAGTCTCTAGCCAATGTGCACGATCTGGTACATAATAAACACACATGTATTTATGAAAACCTGTTTATACAATCTGAGAAATGATAAGTTATTTGTGCATTAATACACTTAAGTTGATTAATACCCAAATCTTGAAATTGACTTACATTATTTTCAAACCATGAGCGTATATTACTTTTTGGACTGGTTGAATGAAATCCATTTGTCAATTTCGATTGTACTGTGACATTATTTTGCTCGGGTACAGGCGATTTCGACTGGTTATCTAAACTCAGTCTGAGATATTTCTCCATGATATCATCGTTACCAGTATGACTATTTCCATTTATGTTTGAATTTGATGGACTTTTTATCTGAAGCAGACATTCTTCTACTTCGCCTCTTGGTGAACATTTTCCATTGACGAGACTGACAGCTGGCAAATACGAGAGAGAACACAAAATACTTCATAAAATTCATCATACCGAAATTTAAGTAAGATGGTTCCCATAAGAATTTGGTTCTAAAAATCAACAACAAAATTCGGATTTTCAATACAAACGTCAAGTCAGTCAGTTCTTCTATACGGATCAGAAACTTGGCCAGTGTGTCACAAAGAATATTTCCAACAGCCTGTTGCAGACCTTTATCAACAACTGTCTTCGCTCTATACTGAAGATCAGATGGCCGGCCGGAAAGAATCACCAACAAGAAACTATGGGAACAAACAAAACAAGAACCAATCGCTCAACAAATATGCAGGAGAAAGTGGAGATGGATTGGATACTCGCTGAGGAGACCGCTGGGTGACATCACGTGTCAGGCCATCGCTCGAGTGGAACCCGAAAGGGAAGCGGCGAGTGGGACGTTCAAGGGTGACATGGAGGAGATCTTGTGAAGAAGAGTTGAAACAGTATGGACTAACACGGATGCAGGTGAAAAGTACAGCAGAAGACAGGAGCAAGTGGAGGCGTGCAGTTGAAGCCCTATGTTCCACTAGGAACCCAAGGGAACAATAATAATAATAGAGTTAATTTACTGTCATTTTTTGTAGACAATAAAATGAATCGGCGAGACAAACAGACAATTCTCGGAGATCAATGCACAAGAGTGTGAAACTTCATCTTTCCAAAGTTCTGGATAGTATGAAGATGAATTCTAGGAAGTAGTAGTAGACTGTAGGCATAAATAAAGACAGACAGCGTAAAAAGCTACACTCCCACTGATATTAAGGAAATTTCGACCACTCAAAGTACAAACTCATCATGAACACTTATTGATTGCATGACAGCAGGTTAAAAGATATTAATGATGAAATGAACCAATGCGTAAATGGCGAAGTGTCTATATAAATCAGTTATTATGAAAAGTGAATGCTAAAAACAGAGTGTTCGATAATATGTTTATGCATATATGAGAGGAAGGATTGATAAAATCGATACGACTGCATTTAGTTGATCTGATAAGAATATACTCACTCAAACAGAAAACACGACAGATGAATAAAACAAAACATTCAAAAAAATGAAACCATAAAAATACTTTTTTTTTGTGTGTGACAGATTGTATCACACTGTGCAGTGAAAAAAGAAGAACAATTCTCAAATGTATTATGTTAAGCAGCCAATGTCTTAGGGGTTATTTACTGAATATTGATTTACATAGTTTAAATAAAAACAGTTAGTAGAACAGGAAAGCATTAGATACTTCAATAAAAAAGGTATATTAACAATTTTAGACCTGATTTTTTGACTTATGAGTAGTTTAATTTCAATCCTGATTATTATTATCTTTTTGAGTTGTTTTATCATGTTTCTAAAGAGGTTTTCTGTTAAAATAGAGGAATTTGTAAAAATACAAGGCAAATGTTCTGTGATTATTAGTTAATATAAAATATATATTCAGTGCTTATATTAAAACAGTTCTCAAATGTTCTAGGTTGTCTCCTGATGAATATCTGCATTCCCATTCTACTTTTTTCATCTTTCAAAGTAGATGAGATATCGCCAGAGTATTTATACGTAATAAACTTACCTTACTATCTTTTAGTGTATTAATTTTTCACATGAAAGATACGAAAGACGCCAGTAAACAAAAAGTAGGCTATGATAGTTAATATTATGCAATAGTACGTATGTAAAAGTAGATTTAAGTTGGAAGAAAGCGAATCGTTACTAAATCAAGACACAACACGAATCCATAGAACTACTGACTCTTGATGTAAAATGTGTAGACTATCAACTAAGCATTTACTTAAACAACTATAGTTTCATTTTACATTCTTTGTGTCTGAAGTGGAACATATACCTTAAAGCTGTTTCGAAGTTTTCCAAGCAGTGGTATTTTTTTACGACGTAGGATCGCTAGTCTCATGCCTAACCTTTCCCCTACTAACAGCTTACTACCGCCTAGTTGGGAATTAGGAGTCCACCTGGCAGATATTGAGTCCAGTTGATGAGCATTCTACTATTGCAAGACTGAAACATAACCAGTTATATTGGTTTGAGGATTTCATCATGAGCTGACATCAGTAAAAGAACCATTGGAAAACCAACTGGGAGTACTGGACACCTATTTCATCCTAGTTTGGGATTCTTAAGCAGTACGCAACCACCCAAGTTGGAACCCAGGACCTTCTGGTTACAAAGTGATCTCGTAGACCATTATGCCACTGGGACCTAATCCAGTGGTCCATGAATTCTAACCTCTCCTGATTCATGACACAGCGTGACTACTTTGCAATGTCTTCTTCGAAGAATCACTGCCTCACCCTCAACCGGCTGTAACCTACTGGTCACCGCTTCCCACTAGAACACCAGGTAACTGCCTTTGATTGGTTGGAGGATCCCAACAAAACCAATACTTGAAAATTAATCTAATGCTCACTAGCGACTGGCCCTATTCAGGCAGTTAACCTGGTTGAAGGTGAGACATTAATTCTTCAAAGAAGACATTGCGAATCAGCCACTTTATGTCATGAATTAGCAGAAGTTAAAATTCATAGACCACTGGACCAGGTCTCAGTGGCTTAATGGTCTACGAGATCACCTTGTAACCAGAAGGTCCTAAGTTCGAACCTCGGTGGTCAAGTAGTGCTGAAGAGTCCTAAACTAGGCTGATGAAACAGCTGCCTAGTACTACCTGCAGGTTTTCTAATGGTTCTCTAACTGGTTTCAGCTCATGACGAAATCCTCCAACCAATCAAACAAATCCCTACAAAACCAATACTTGAAAAAAAACAGTTATTGCTGCAGACTCAAAATCGATCTTTTTTTTTTGATTTACAGCTTGATTCCACACCGTATTTTCAGTACAAGTGTGGAATTTTCAGCATAGATATCGGTAGCCCAAATTCAGGCCGACCATAGATATCGGGTGTGCGCCGGCAGGGGATCGAACCCCGGACCATGTGCATGGTCGGCGAGAGTCCTAACCACTGTGCCACCGGCATCATAGTGATGTTGTATTATTCATTCGTGATATGAACGTTAATACACTTGGTAGTTTGGGCTAATGGAGTTTCCACCCAGTCGATTTGCGAGCCTACTGTTCTAATCGCTATTAGCAACAACAACAATACGATATCACCGAATCCGCGACGCAAGAAGACAGACAGTTGACGTAGACAGCTTTTACTGTCTCGAATTAATAGAGAAAATGATTAACAGCAGTTGCGTATATGTATACTTGAAAATGGCCTTGAGAGACACTAATAACTTCGATAAGTTGAAACAGTCAACAACCAATAGGGTTCCAAGGTAGTAAGTGTGGGGGGAAATACAAACAGCACTGCACTGTAAAGATATATTTAGTATTTTTAAAAAATTAGGTCTGCATAACAGTACTCAGTCCAAATTTAATCGATAATAAATAGGGTATTTGCTTCCTTTTCTTCTCTTTTCTAATCTTGTTTTCTTTAACATTCTGATACCTTTAACCGTATGATTTTCACTTTTGTATTTTTCGTTTTTTATTCATTTAGACATGATGTGCAAACGTGATGTCTGTCAACATCAACTCTGCATAGTAATTCAAATTCCAATGCTCATGATGTCAGCCTGTCTCTATGTCTTACAATTATTAAGTTTTGAAAACCATAGTACTTAACTTGATTTTATACTAGATTAAAATATTTTGTTTTGTGTAAATTGTGTAAAAAAAATACATCACAGCTACTGCAATAGGGAGTGTTAATTAGTTTTAATTTTCACTTATTATGAATTAATCGCTTTAACCTCTAGGTATGAAACCTCCACTTATCTGGTTATTTAGTACAAATCTACATGTCATTCAATCATTTTTCTATCAAACGATCGCAGACTGATAATATTAAGGTATTATTGACTCTTCTAGTTTTAAATTTAACACAAGTTCGGTCAATTATTTTTAACTGATTAAAAATGCCCATTAAAATTTTCAAAAGAATGGACACGGAACAAAGAGTATTCTTTTCGATAAATTCATCATCAGGCTCTACAATTATATATACATTATAATGAATGAATGAGTTAGTCTTATGAACGACATTAATGTTTAAATAACATCAAATCAATAATATTGATAAATTACAGCTGAACAGCATCAACATAAAATAAGCTGAATGTCAGAAGAATTAGGAAAGATAATATTACAAATTCACGAGTTTATAGTTTCTACTGAGGTCCAGGGTAGTAGTAGGGGCTGGTTAATGTAACTGGAGTCGTACACATAACTTCATAACTGGACAAAAATTAGACAATAACAAATTTTTTAATGACCTACGTGAATGTAACTGCACACCTTGTTTTATAATATATGTATATATATATATATATATATATACATAAACATATATAATTTATTTTATTCTTTTGTGTTCCTGGTGGAACATAGGGCTTCATTTATGAGTTTTGAAGTTTTAGCAGTAGTGGTTTTATTTTTACGGGGTTGGGTTGTTAGGCTTATACCTAACCTTCCTTCTTTACCAGGCTTACTACTGCATACACGTGGTTTAGGAGTGGATTGGCCTGGAATTAATCCCTCAGCCATATGCATGGTTCGTGAGTATTCTACAGTTGAACCCACTGACTTACGTTATATATATATATATATCACTGCGGTGTACGGTGTTGAAAGTTGATTACAACAAAAATCTCAATAAATGTCAGTCTGCAAACTGGACTAAATGGACTTCATATTTCAGTGAGTCTAATCAATGATTGTCTGAAGTGCTTTTTTCAATGGGAGTCAGTTTACAAAATGAAAACTAAAATTAAACATTGAAAAATGTATTTAATTGTGAAAGATGTTTAATGTTTCGTTACTGTTACTAAGGTTTCATATCACAAATAAAACTCTGAAGGTAATTTCTTTACGTAAAATGAAAACTTCTAGTACCTGTTTAAAGGTTTTTGTTTTAATAATTGCGTTTCGATTGGTTACAACCTTTGAGGGTTTTAGGCACTTAGGTATAAAATCATGAATAAAATGTAAGAGGACTGTAAAACACTATCCGTATACTACTCGTAATCATATATATTTGTCGGGGATATTTAGATGACCGTAATTATAAAGTTTGCATATCTTCTACATCGTTTCAAGTTTGTTTAGTCCAGAATTCTAGCAAGAAATATATGTATTTTTCTGCTAAAAAAGAACTAATATTCTGAGCAGGTGATGGATTCGTAATTCTCATAATGCAAACGTGTATAACACAACAGTTAGAATAACGGAATGAAGTTACCACACATTAAGTCAGAACATCATACTAACTTTGCGCAGATGTGCAGCAGTTCGAGTCGTCACAATTCACTTGTAACACAAAAATTAAGAGAAGAGAGTAAAGAGAGATGGTAAACAGCAGTATGAGGCAAAAAGAACAGTGATATTGAAGAACAATAGAGTTTTATTGGATATTATAAATCACAAAGAGTGAATGCATCTGCACCAGCCATTGAGAACGATTTTGAGCCACATCACCAACAGTCTCCAGTCTTCATTGGTTTTTACAGTCCCGAGGACCGCAACCAGGAAGTATACACCTCCCCACATGAATGGCTTAAACTAACTTTTGTGGATTTCAATGGCTGATGAGGAAATGTTTTGGTTTCGCCACCACTAGTTCTTTTCCAAGCCGATCCATCTTATGTCAGCTAACATTGCCTAATGTCAAGGAAGACGATGGCTAGTTGTGCATGCGTAATACATGTCCTAATCATCTCAATCTGTGTAACTTCACAACCTTGTCGATCGGTTTCTCCTCCTTACCTAGCACTTGACTATATCATCTGCATATTCTAAGTCAACGAGATTACTTCCTGGTAACAAGTCAGTCCCCGAGTCACTGAAGTCAATAGTTAGGGTTAATTCCATTGATACACTTGTAATAAAATTAAACAGAAATAGGGACAGTGGGCATCCCTGACGGACACCACTGGTTGTCACCACTTCAGATGACAACTCACCGTAGGCTCTCACCTGGCTCACTGCATGAGTTCAAGTAGAGTGCCTTGATCAGTGCGATGTATTTCCTCCGCATTCCCTTCACAGCAAAACATCACCAGAGTACCTCTCGGTCGATGGAGTCGAATGCCGCTTTCAGGTCAAGAAATATAACGATTGTTGGAGGCCGCCGGTAAGTACACCTATGTTCCAGAATCTGTCGGAGGGTGAAGATATGATCAATACATCCTCTTCCTGGTCTAAAGCCTGCCTGGTTCTCTTGTGTTTGTTCCTCCCGTGTACCGCTAAGTCTTCGCATAATTATTGAGCCTAGAACTTTAGATAATATATTGGTCAAGCTAATCCCCATGTGATTGTCACAAGAAGACTTGTCTTTCTTCTTGTATATGGGCATAATCAATGACTTACATCAGCTCGACAGGACTATCTTTGACTCCCAGACGCTGTCTAATACCTTAGTTAACGAAGACAGTAACATGTCTCCACCGCCCTTAAACACCTCTGGAGTCAGGATAATGAAGTGAAAGTGATTTTATTAGGATTCGGAAAATGTCTTAAAACGTGACATATAAGGTTAAAAATTAGATTTAAATCAGGCGTAAAAATACTTGCTCGATTCTGATTACAAACCACATTGCCTATACCTTCTAAAATTATCCAGTGATTCTACTGATTGCTTTCATTTCCTAGTCCGGTCACGATTTCAATCTTTTACCTGCTAACATTAGCCAGTGGAGGAGACGATCCAGTTAACATACCGGACACATTTCCTAGATATTAAGGTCTTCAAATTTGCACAGTTTTATCAAATATCTTGTCTACTTCACCTATAAAAGTTTCTGATACAATCAGCCTAAGCCTCCTAAGTTTCGCATAATGCTTTCTGTTTTGATTCTGTAAGAAGTTGAGCTTTTTTTAGGTAAAACAATTCACCACAATTAGACAATATGCAAGATTTTTAACGTAGTTTACAACACTGAATCTATGTGAACATCTAAAATTCTTTTCAAGTCTACTCTAAAATCTTAACTTCATTGTGACAAATACGTTTTGTACAACTAATCAAGCTTCATTAGATGATGACTTGAAGACTGCAAAAAAAATCTCACCGGATTCGTGAAGTGTCTGTGAAGAATTCATACAAATATCTTATATTTTTATATTCTTTCTATCTAAAAAGAGTCAATGTTTTTAGGCAGTAGGCTATAGTAGCCGTCAGATGACATCACCTTTATTTTCGGGTGACTGTAGCTTATAGACTACATAGAATATTGGAAAGGGGTACATCTGTGCGGTATCAAAAAATGAAGTCAGCTATTTAATCATTGGCAGTACACAAGTTCATAACTACACACAGATTTCTTCCAATCTGGAGCCTGAAGTTCCCATCACATTCGTGACATTTTTGAAAAAATAAGAATGTCTGTAGGAAAAGATGAAGGAAGACCTCTTTTTCAATTTGGTAGTCCTTCAATCTACATTGATTAGGACATTTACCTCAATACAACTTTATATCCGACTATCGACCAAAGGGCGTGTGTACTGCTCAACAGTCCGCTCCGTCCTCCTTTATGGCTGTGAGACCTGGCCATTGAGAGCGGAAGACATGAAAAGATTAGCTATCTTTGATCATAGGTGTCTGCGTTCAATCTCCCGCGTGAAGTGGTATGATAAAGTGAGCAATATTGAGGTTAGGCATCGAGTGCTAGGTAAGGCTGGGAAATCAATCGGCAAGACTGTGAAATTACATCGACTGAGATGGTTAGGACATGTGTTACGTATGCCTAGTCATTGCCTTCCTCGATGGGCAATGTTAGCTGATATAGGGTCAGGCTAGAAAAGAGCTAGCGGCGGTCAAACGAAAACATGGCACCAGTCAATAGAATTTACAACAGTTAGTCTAAGCCACGTAGGAAGGTGTAGACTTCCTGACTGGTTGGGGTCCTCGGGATGGTAAAAACCAATGGTTGGAAACAATTGGTGATATGGCTCAAAATCGTTCTCAATGGCGCAGATGCATCCACTCCTTGTGACTCATGATTTCCAATGAAACTGTTTTGTTCTTCGTTATTACTATTCCTTTGTCTCACACCTCTGTTTACTGTCTCTAATATGCATTTCTCCTACTTTCTTCTCTTCCTTTGTGTGCTACATGGAGTGTGGCGATTTGAACTGCTGAACATCGGTGCGAAGGTCTATGTCGAAAACCGACCGACCGACCGACAACTTTATAAGACCAAAACGACCAGATAGAAAATGGTGGCTTGGCACCCAAAAAAAGCACCAGAAATTGAAAAGAGATACATCTCCCGGAATATTCATATATAAAATACAAATCATTGTCAACAGATTACAATGGAATTTTTCAAAGGTGGTTAATATTCAGTCTAGAGGACAGAGATGAAGTAGTCTACAAGTTCTTCAGACGGTCTACACTATAAGCAAAATAAATTTAAAAATATTTCTGTCAAAATTCTCATGGCTTACCTGTGGTCAAGTTTTTATTTTCACCTTCTGTATACTCAGTACGCGATGTTTCAAGAAGCAATGGGAAACCATCTTCAATTATTTTTCGATTATCATTATCCAAATTATTGTTAGTTATCATTTTATCACTAACATCACTTTGCCTTGTATTTGTACGCACCTCCATCTCACCGTCTGCATGTGCAGTATTTATCACTTCCATGCGATTATCATCTCTACCGGATCGGTGGGATGATGTCATTTGGTCGGATATTTCATTGGTTTCAACATTTTTTAAATCTAACAATTTTATAGATTGTGAGTGGGAGATTGACTCTATGGAACGAACAGAATCTGGTTTCTGATTGTCTAAGTTTTTGTTTGAAGATCTGTTAGAATTTACATCTAAGTGATTTGAACCGGATACTGAAGAGTATCTTGATGGGATATTCATGATTTCATTTGATTTATTTTTCAAAACTGTAACAATTAATGAAACAATATTAAATATAAAAGTAATTAGAATGAATGCAAACAGATTATAATTCATAACAGAATATTTTTATTCAAGTGTTGGTTTGTAGGGATTTGATTGGTTACAGGATTTTCATCATGAGCTGACATTAGTTAGAGAACCATTGGAAAACCTGGGAGTACTGGACAGCTGTTTCGTCAGCCTAGTTTGGGACTCTTCATCAGTACGCACCCACCACATGGGGTTCGAACCCAGAACCTTCTGGCTACAAGGCGAGCTCGTATACCATTTCTAGTGAGAAGTCGTGACCAGTAGGGCGCAGCAGGTCGGGCGTGAGGACAAATACTCGCCGAAGACATTGGGCTATGGGTCGCGCTATGTCGTGAATTGGCAGAAGTTAGAATTCATGAACCATTGGATCAGGTTCCAGTGGCTTAATGGTATACGAGCTCGCCTTGTAACCAGAAGGTCCTGGGTTCGAACCCCCTGTGGTGGGTGCGTACTGATGAAGAGTCCCAAACTAGAACGAAACAGCTGTCCAGTACTCCCAGAATATTTTTATTTGATAAGAGCACATAGACATACGGTGTCATTTACTGTGAATATGTTTCAAGTACAGATTATTGCTTATAAGCACATCAAGACCAGATCTCCAACTTCTGTTCTCTCAATAGCTGATGAAACGTCGGTAGCTACTTCATCGTTTTCAGTGTTATTCTTTTCCCCCATCAATTTTTTGAACTTAACTGACATGTTTCTTTGGTTTTATAAGGTCGATTATTTATCAAACATTTGATTTTCCCAACTTCACTTCTTGTATTGTTTAGTTTCATAATTAATTCTATGGATTTCTTCTCTTCAACATAGTCTGCTGACGTGTTTAACTGCTGATATTATTTTGCGTGTCGTAATTGGAGTACGCAGGTGTAAGTATTCAGAAATTATATGAATTTTTAAACATCGAATGTTGAAAATAATACAATGATTTGTGGATTGGACTTCAGTTTGACAGAATCGTGTGGGTTTGTTGACAAGCTTCCTAATAAGTAGACCCTTAGTTTCATTGGTATAAGAATAAAACTTAGGCACTGTGGTAGGGTATAATTTCGTAACAGAATAATTTCATTTCATAAGAAAACACAGTGATACGGTATTATTTACTTATGACGTTTTTTCGATGTGGTTGTGTTCTCTGAGCTGGATAGTTAATTTGCGAAGCTTTCATCGCCCTACTAGGCAGCATCTTCAGCGCATACTTCAATTTGAAGTGAGCTTTTAGATTTCTCCACGAGTTTATTAATCATCTCTCCTAGTGGGGGACATTGGACGTGATGGGTTGTTTTTGTGTCTTCTCACACCTTCTAGGTTACTTGTATTGGAGCTGATTGTTTCTTTGACTTGAACTTTGACCCTTTGTGTGTGTGAGGTTTCTTTCTTGTCGGTTAATAAATTTTGTCTGTCTCGATGTGTCTGTTGATTGATGATTCACTGTAATGCCAAGCTTCTAAAAATTCTCTAGTATTCTTGCTGTTTCCTCTGTCTAATATTTGAACGTTGTCCCAGACGAATTGATGTCCGTGGTTGTCTGTATGTAGTTATATGAGGGAGTGGATATCATGTCTTTTGACGGCGAGCTTATGTTTGGGGATACGAAGACGAAAGGAACGTCCACTTTGGCCATTGTAGTGTTTTTCGCAGTTGTTACAATTTATTTTATAGATGGTGTTGGTTTTATCTTCTTTCGCTGTTAAGTCTCTTAGTTAACATAGAACTGAGTGAAGTGATTTTGTTGGTTTGTGTGCGACGTCAATTCCATAAGGTTTAAAGAGTCTTCGAGTGATTTCTGATATATCCTTTATATATGGTAGGGCGACTTTCTTTGTGCTTTCCTTGGGGGCTTTTGGTTTGATAGGTTGGCTTGAGGGTATATGTCTTTTGACGATATCCATTCTTTTGGAAGACGTCCATGAGATATTTTTCTTCAATTTTCCTTGAGGTGGGAGTGCTGCAATGAGTCCTGGCCCTCTTGAATAGTGTTTGTACGCAATTCCTTTTGTGTGTTATTGGATTGTTGCTGTTGTAATTAAGTATTTGGTCTGTGTGAGTTGATTTTCTATAAACTTGAGTTTCTAATTCCCCTGTGGTTGTTCGCTTGACTAAGACGTCCAAAAATGGGATTTTGTTCTCGGATTCCTCTTCTCTTGTGAATTTGATGTCGTTGAAGACGTTGTTTATTAAGCTGTGAGTTTTATCTAACTCGTTATTTTTATTATTACAAATGCGTCATCTACGTAACGTATCCAAATCTTGGGTTTGATCTTTGGTAGGATAATGTTTTCAAGCCTTTGCATCACTGGTTCTGCAATCAGACCTGATACTGGCGGTCCCATGGGTGTTCCTTTGACTTGTTCATATATTTGGCCGTTGAATTGGAAGTACGTTGTTAGAGATAGGCTTATGCATTCTAGCAGGGCGATGAAAGCTTCACAAATTAACTATCCAGCTCAGAGAACACAACCACATCAAAATCATCCACTTGAGCTACAAATCTTCTCTATCATAACTAATGACGTTTCGAGAAAAAATTATTGTTCATAATCATACTAAAGCCTACATTATAATCCAGTTATATGAACTTACTGCCACATTCAGAGTTTAATCTCATAAGTAAATAAACGTGAGTTTATATATATATATATATATATAAATTAATAGTAGTAGTGAAATATATATTTTCGTAATTCAAACTCTAACTAACGCAAAACACTCTAGTTAATAATGGAGAGAGGCTTAATATATCAAAATAAAGGCACTGCGATATTTCTGTCAAACATAACTGAGAAGATAATTAGCACTTTTAAACTTCTCATACTTCAAAGACAGCACTTAACAATAAACATGTACACCTATTTTTATCAAGGATGTGGCCTGTGCTACTGATAAGATTTATCAGTAGTATATAAAGAGATGTTGATCAGCATAAAAATATCAAATAGAGGAGTGGTAGATTTGACGTCAGCGTTGAGGCAAACATGGGAGACATATAGAAGAGGACAAAGAAACGCAATACGAAGAGCAGAAGTAGCACAAAACGCAAGATCTGTGCAAATGACGGTTTTCAGATAAGGTGTGCATAATTTCACTGTATAGAAATACCAGATTGTCTTCTACCGTTGCAAGGCGAATTCTCATTCTCGTCTTTGTAACAATTTAGTAACATGATTAAGAAAATGGAAGACACTCTCTCTGTTTCATTGTGAATATGAATAGTTTAAATGCAAATGTTCCTATATGTATATATATATATATATATTTAAACGTGGCATCAGAACACTCAGCTATAGCAGTACATGCGACGACAATGTCAGAAATAACGTGTGTGTGTGTGACAGAGACAGAGAGAGTTACATACAAGCATAACACATTCCAAAGTCATTATGACGCACAAATCATCCACGTCTTCTATATACAGTTGAAGCTATTGCAGTATGATCAAATAAACTGCATCATTGTCTCGCATTTCACAAAATTCGGTAATTGCGTCCATTCCAGAAGGTTTGTCACACAATTACTATTCCTATAGTCACCCTGTAACTAATCTGTTATTCTACACAGAAAAATGTATTTTATAACTGTAAGATATTAGAGCTATTCATGACCCCGAATAGCTAAGAGGTAACGTCTCTGACTGTAGCACTAGGTGATGCGAGTGTGAATCTCAGAAGGGACATGAGTTTCTTCGAGGTTGCAGATACGCCTTGCTAACGAGCGTCAACTAGCACGAAACCTAGGTCCAAGGCTTCCAGCAGATTGCCTCCAACGATCTAATATCATCAAATCAATGTGCACCATGATGGCGAGATACCTAGCATGGTGGCCACATTACAAACCTGACTGATAGAATTCAGCCTGCACCAAAGAAAGGACTAGATACATCACACTAGTTACTGACTAGTGTCCAATCAAAATATAACTGTAAGAACCTGAAGAGAATTTATTAGAAAAGATATTCTTCGTTCAGACCGACTATGAATTCATGATACAGGAATATTTCACACTCTTAAAGCGTTGAAGCAACAATTTATTTCTGACTTTATTAATTCTACCGCAAAGCAAAAAGACCATTTTGTTTTAAAGTTACACTAGTCATATATATATCTATATCTTTAGAGAGAGAGAAAGGCTTTGCACAAGTTGAAACTTCATCTTATTTTTACCAATACTGGTTACCTTTGTTTTCACGCTATTAACTACTTACCATGTAGTTAACAGTTGCATCATGTGCACACACAGAAAAACAAAATAATAAGAGTTTTTTTAAGGGTAATTTAAAATGTTGTTGATTTTGAGTGAATTACTTTTGTTTACTGGAGTCACACAGTAAATGCCACAAGACTAAATCTTCAAAAATTCCTCGTGTTTTATACTGTTTTGAAGCTTACACGTTTTCAAGTTCTTAAATTTAACTTAATGTATCTGTGGTACATATGATTTCTTTTTAAGACGAAAACAAATACTTGTCACCACTGACTGACTGGTTTCAACGTAGAACTTTGCACAGATGTGCAGCAGTTCGAGTCGTCACACTTCACTAGTAACACACAAAGTAAGAGGAAAGAGTAAAAAGAGATAGTAAACAGCAGTATGAGGCAAAAAGAATAGTGATATGGAAGAACGCCAGAATTTTATTGGATATTACAAGTCACAAGGAGTGAATGCATCTGCACCAGCCCTTGAGAACGATTTTGAGCCATATCACCAACAGTCTCCAGCCTTCATCGAATTCCACCATTCCGAGGACTCCAACTAAGAAGTCTACACCTCCCCATGTGGCTTAAACTAACTGTTGTGGATTTCAATGGCTGATGCCATGTTTTGGTTTGACCACCACTGGCTCTTTTCCAACCCGATCCATCCAATGTCAGCTAACATTGCCCATTGTCGAGGAAGACGATGGCTAGCTGTGCATGCGTAATACATGTCCTAACCATCTCAATCTGTGTAACTTCACAACCTCGTCGATCGGTTTCTCCTCCTTACCTAGCACTCGACTTGTCACCAAAAATAATTAAGGCTTTTATGGTTGTCAGTCTTACAGAGAAGTAATACAAACAACTGAGGATTAAAACAATTAAGTGATTCTTTCCGGTGTTGGAATTTAATGCATGCTACTAAGTATACTATAGTTTAAATTTTTGAATAAGTATTAGTCAAATCGATTAAGTATTTGTAACTCACCTGAACTTTACGTATATACATACATATGGAATGTTACATTGTTAAATTTATTGGGAATTTTTTGCTTCAAGTATTCTTAAAGTTGTTAAAACTGGTAACGAAGTTGATGGCATATTCTTTGTGTGGCATATTTTATTTTTGGAAGGTGTTTGCAACAATTCTGTGTCCATTTCTGGAAAGGCTCGAATGCTATCGCCTACTTAAAATCAAGTATGTATAGCTGACAGATCCTATGTGTAACAAACCGCTAGTTTGGAGTAGCAACATAGGATAAACTTTCAGGAATCTTCAAGAAAGTTCACATGCATTGTAGTGTTTGTTAAACAACTATTATTCTACTTTTTAGGATACTAGTTAGGAAATTTCCAGTCTTTTGACTGGACACTAGTCAGTAACTAGTGCAATGTGTCTAGTTCTTTGTTCGGTTCAGACTGGATTCTGTCAGCCACGTTGACAATGTGGCCACCACTCTAGGTTGCTCAGTGGTAACATCTATGACTGCAGCATCGGGTGACGTCAGTTCGAATATCAGAAGGGACACAAGTTCCTTCAAGGTTGCAGATACGCCCTGCTGACGAGTGCCGACTAACACGAAACCTAGGCCCAAGGCTTCCTGCCGATTGCCTTCAACCATCTAATAAATTATTAGTCTGCGGAATAATTTAGACATACTAGTATGTCTTGTATAAGTGAAGCACATTACGTAACATGTATAGCAGTTTTGAATCGGTAATAGTAATAGTAATAATTATCTAACTAGTTGCGTTTCTTTTACTTACACCTTCTGATTTCCTGTTTCGCATAGATAGAATCGACTCAGCTGAGTTTCAATCTGTCATGAGGGAGTATCATTTCTTCCAGACTAAAAAATATCAAGTCACTGACACATCATGATAAATATTGATCACCATGTAATGTAAGTAGACCAAGTTGATAAGAGCATCAAACCACATTGAACTAATCTTTTACTGCCGACTGTATACCATGGTCTATAGGCAAGATGTCAGATCATTAAAAATACTCTTCATTAAGGAATGAAAGAGAAGAGCTTAAAAATGTGAATTTGCTTAATAACCTACTTGATTTGTTCGATTTTGGTGTGTTGATATCAGATCCGTTGGTCAGATCATGTAGACTACTGGAATACGAATTATCTTGAACATCAATATCACTTTCGCTCTTCATCTTCATACTTCTAGTACAGAAGTAGAGGTATAACAAAAAAAGGAATAAGAATGAAAATCATGTGATATATATAAACACATATGGATGTAACAGAAATTACAAATAGAACTTGGTTTTCGGTTTACTGATTTAACTTCTGGTTGAGAATGGAATGTGCGATGATGTCTGGAAGATGGTTTCGGTGAATGTCATTGTCTGTGCAGCTGTCATACGTCGTCTTGGTGTCTAACAGTATTACAGTTTTGGTATCAGTGTTGTTATGAAGAAACTCCAAGCACCACAATGCCATTGGGTGATGAAAGTTACTTTTTTAAGCGTTGGTTGGTATTGAGTGAGTGACTGGGATAATTGACGGTTGAAGTATGATCAGGCGTCGTCTGATCATAGTATTATTGTCATTATTATTATTCCCTTGCGTTCCGAGTGGAACATAGGGGGCTTAAACAACACATCTCCACTTTATTCTATTCTCTGCCATCGTCTTCAGTTGGGCCCACCACTGACCAAACTCTCTCATCTCTTCCTCACACGATCTCCTCCATGTCACCCTTGAAGCGATAAGCCACTCATCGCTTCTCATTTGGATTCCACTTGAGGGCCTGGCGCACGACTTCATTCGAAAACCTCAATGAATGCCCGATCCATCTCCACTTTCTCCTACATATTTGTTGAGCGATCGGTCTGATCATGGTGGAATGTAGTAATACTATGAGCAATCCCATCTACCGAAGGAGGCATTACAACCGGAGTAGGCTGTAATGATTCAACAATACAAATTTTTCAGGGCGTGAGCAACTCGATTATTTTCGTTTGTTATTCAAGAAATCTGTCTAACTTCGATGAACCCAGTGTGGGGAGAGCTGTCTGCTAGCCAAAATTGTAGACAACAATTAACGTTAATCTTCACGTCCTGAATCGGGGTCATGAGAAAAAACAATAACAAAGCTTAACCTTGAGGAACTCACCAACCAATCACAGCAGACTTAACGTGTGCAAATACGATTCACAGATGTATGGCCTGACTTTCTAAGAAACGGCCACAAAGAGATGAGAGAATAACCTTCAGCAAGAAAACAACCAATCAGAAGACGTTGCTTCTCTGCTAACAATAACGAATAACAATGCCTCGATGGTCACGGATTGGGACAGAACACACAACAAGAGAGAGAAATTTAAGGATGGTCTATCACAATGACTGTCACATTTATCGTTGGAAGTAAGCTATAGTTGCCTAACTCTCCAGCAAAAAAGAACTTTCCAGTAGAGCAGTAGTTACTATCCAGATAATAATATTAGCAACACTAATTACATACAGGTCACAGATAGCTTATCAAAGTAACTTATTAATTTGACATTTTATAACCTGACTATCTGTAGCTCATGATGTCGACGATTAAAATCCTTTTGGTCATTTTCTCTATTTGACTTAAGATAAATAACATATTAGCGGAGGAAGAAGTATGTATACTCGTCTAAATGACAGCATGCTATTGGTGGAAATCATAACAAACAGAATGACTATGCGCACTCCCACCTCTAATCAAAACTGGTTCAAAAGAAGTTAAACACAACTGATAATTATCTGCTAACTTAATACAGTTGTAGAAAATTAGTTATATTAGCTTTAATTTCAACTTCCATCGTTGATACATATCGCTCTTATATTCTTCCTTCAGAATTCACACGTTCATTATGAAATACACACTTTATATCTCATTATTCTGAAATAATGAGACTAATCCAATCGCATAAAAGACTTATTTTGAGCCAGTTGTCAATCAAAAATTCATTTCAGTTGATGGACAGATAAAATTATGCGTATATATATGATTATTCTTACTAATAAAAAGTCTGCACTTATTATGTAAGCTGTAGTCATAATTTTATTGAAAAGGTGTGATGGAATTAACTGCTACTAAAGCTTTAATTTCTACTTTTCATAGATAAGAAATAGGCATATTTTCATTGTTGACAAAAAAAGCAATTTCAACAGACTGTAGACTTTCATGAACAGTTGCCTTTCCTCGAAATTGAAGAACAGATGATCGGCCAGAAAGGATAAGCAACAAAGAACCAGACAAGAACCTATTGCCCAATAATTATGCTGAAGAGAATGGAGATGTATTTGACGTACACTTAGGACATAAGTGAGGGATATCACACCCCAGGCTATCGTGTGGAATATGAATGGCAAGTGATCAGTTCAGTATCCGAGGGTGGCATGAAAGAGATAATCTGAAGAGGAAATTATTGCTTGTGAGTAATCGTGAAGGCAGCTCAAAAAGACGCCAAACAACAGAGTAAGAAGAAGATGTGCTGCCGAAGCCCTATGTGCCACTAGAAACCCAAGAGATGAATAATAAAAGACTGAAATGTTTATAGGGTTAGTGAAAACAATAGGATACTTGACCGATCAGTCTAGAATGCATCAGATTAGATTGAAACGCTTCTGAAATAGGAGAACAACATGGTAATGAGACTACACGAATTTGACAGCAAGAATTATTAAATGAAGCTTAGTTAAAATTTTTAAGAATGTAAAAGATAATAATGAAATAAATCCTTCTGCTCTATTAAAGGCTACTTTGTTGACTAGAGCTAAACATGTAGAATAAAGTTACGTAAAACACCAAGAAACAAGCTGGAAATTTGAACACCAGAATGATGCAGAGAAAAGCTAATTAGTCAGTATCACTTGGCACATTGGAAGAGCATTTTCTAGCCATACACGAGGTCCACATTCGATTCCTTGCCGATACACCCCTAGACGTTGCCTAGCAGGTAGTACGGTGGAGAAAGAGGGAGAACTGGGAATGGCAGTGGCCACGTCGATCCGTGAAAACAATACTACTATTTCACTTGAAAAGCGAAGGAATGAAAGTAAATTGGGGAGAAGAACTAAGGATTTCGGTAAGTGAGATACAACAGATATTTTCTCACACTAACATTCAAAAATAAAAGTGATTTAATTGACGTAAAAAAAGAAAAGGATCAGAATATTCAGAGCAAATTAAGAGTCAGTAAAGAATGTAACCGCATGGGACCTTGGCGGCCTGTTTGAACATTTTGGGCTACCATATTCCATGTACATTTTGCATCTATTTACTCATATTTTGTTGGTGTTTACATTTAAAATTATGCATTCTAATCGTATCATTCACTCTCGGGATTATATAAAATGCTTAAAACCTAAAAACTTTCATATTTGCAATAAACTCAAGAAAAAGCACCATGGTGGTTGGCAACGTGCTTTAAAATCTACACCCATACATCAAACTACTGTTCCGGTTATCGTTAGTACGAACTGTCGGTCACTGCCTAACAAAATTCTGGATTTTCAGTCCCTGTTGTTGTCCGAAACTTATCATAATACTGGTATTGTAACTCTACAAGAAACCTGGCTTCATGACTCATATGATGACAATATAGTATCTTTAAATGATTTTAATGTATTCCGACAAGACCGTGTTTGTTCCAAGAAAAAATGCGGCGGTGGAGTAGCTACATTTATTCACTCAAAATGGTCTATTTCTAACAATGTTTGTTTCAAATTCTCGAATGACTACATTGATTGCATCACTGTCAGATGTCGCCCGAGACACTTGTCAAAATACAAATTCATTTATATTTCTAATGTTTATGTCTCTCCTGGCTGTACCATATCGGATTTATCTATGTTCGCAGATGAATTCACCGCTTTTGCTGCAGCTTGTTTCGAGAACTCTTTATCAATAGTGACTGGCGATTTTAACTCTTGTGATCACTCCTTCCTTATATCACTTGGCCATGACAATATTGTTAACTTTGCTACCCGTCTCGAAAAAACACTAGATCTAGTATTCATCAATGATGTTGGTATATATGAAGCTCGCAAACGTGCTCCTGTATTGAACTCTGACCACTGCATCATACGTGTACTGCCTAAAATATATTCCAAATCACACAAACGTGTCTTCTCTCACCTCTACAGTAAATTTCAACGGAGATGCTACTCACAAGATAATCTAAGCAAACTCAGATGCATGTTGATAGATACTAACTGGGACCTATTTACAGAACAAACATTAAATGACACAATCACAAACACCACAGATTATCTTAAATTCTGTTTGGAAATATGTTGTCCTAAAGAAACATTATTCACTCGTTTTGACCGTTTCTCTTCTCCATATCTCAAAAAGCTCCGTAGAGATAAAGAACTGTTGTTCAAAACAAATGATAAGTCAGGTGTAAAAAAGCTAAATCCTCTGATAAAACTCGAAATGCACAGACTAAATGTTTTATACAACCAAAGATTTTTGTCATGTAAAACCCCTTCTAGTTTATGGAAACTTTTTAAAGAAATAACTAGCGGTAAGCGGTGTAATTCTGTACAATCTCTTAATGTTAATAATCTTAATAAGTCTTTCATACGCTCCTCTGACGATATCCTTCCTAATGATACAAATCACATAGACAATAATTTTAATGGTTTTAATACCCTTGATGTGCTTAAATGTCTCCGTTCTCTTAAGCCTTCCCAAAGCCTTGGTCCTGATGGCGTACCTGCCATTGTCCTCAGGAACTGTGCTGATATTTCGTGTTACCCTCTTACTAATATTTTTAATGCTTCCTTTTCCAGTAATGTTCTACCTTCTGCATGGAAAAACATTAAAATTGTCCCTATACCAAAACAATCTTCTGGTACCGATAGTAAATTTAGGCCTATTGCAATTACTTCTCCTTTTTTTAAATTGATGGAAAAACTACTTTTACTTCGTCTTGAACCTTCATTGAAAGCTTTTAATGACCCTAAGCAATTTGCATATAAACATGGTAGAAGTACCTTGGATGCTGCGGTTGTCTTATATCATAATGTTGTTTCTTGTTTAGACAAAGGTGCCAAATATGTCCGTGGTGCTTTCCTAGACTACACATCTGCGTTTGACTCTGTACCTAGGGGCCTTTTATTAAATAAGCTCTCCTTGACGCACACAGCATCCTGGGCTAAGAGTTGGTTGCATTCTTATTTTTCTGATAGAATGCAGTATACTGCATATAATGGCAAATCTTCTTCTGCTTTGCTTACAAAAGCCGGTGTTCCTCAAGGTGCCGTCCTCTCTCCCTTTCTTTTTTCTTTCTTCTTACATGACCTGCCACATTTAAACGAAACCAATTTTGTCAAATATGCTGATGATCTGACTGTATCACTGCCTATCACTTCTGAGTCTGACTGCTCCAAACTTAATAGCTTTTTGTTGGACATCAGCATGTGGTCTAAGTCAAATGGTCTTATGTTAAATCCTTCCAAATGTCAGGCAGTTAACTTTACCTTCAACCATCGACGTGACATACATGAACTAGTTAGTTCCCATGATGCCTGTAGCATAGATGGTACAGAAATTGGAACCAAATCAAGCGTTAAATACCTTGGATTAGTTCTTTCCTCGGACCTTTCATGGTCATCTCACATTTTATTGGTCTCTAAGAAAATGTTTCGTCTTACCTTCTACATTAAAAAGTTAAGACAACAAGGTATCAGCCAACCTTTAGTTCTGCGATTTTTAAACTCCTGTATTTTACCCATTTTACTTTATTGTTCTCCATTAATCTTTCCTGGGCTTCTTAAAAAAGACTATGCCGTATTACGAAGGGTATTAAATGCTGTGAGTAGGGCTTGTGGTTTGCCACTGCGTGATCTCGCCAATACCATAGTCGAGAGACACGTAAATTCCTGTAAAAATTGGGCAAAGGCCGTACTGTCAGACCCTCTGCACCCTCTTTATTCACAATTATCCCCTTGTATCTCATCAGGTAGAACGAGAAGTCAATATAAGAAATTATATGCTCGTACCACTAAGTACAAAAATTCTACAATACCGTACTTAGCCTGTATTTTATGTGATGAAGACACTGTTAGACGTGAAACATATAAGTTACTATGTAATTAGCATAGTGAATCGACCCTTTCATTGTTCATCTTTCTGTAATTCTATGGTGTCACCCTTTCTATCGTTTAATTATAACTTTGCTATTTTTATTTTAGTTGTTATTACTATTATTACTATAATTTTATATTTTTCTCCTTATCCTCTACTGTAATTGCTACATAGCTCCTATAAAAACGTTTTGTTATCATTATTATGTATTAATTATTCCGTTTATCTATTTTTTTTTGTTTGTTGTTGTCGTTTTTGAGTAAATTAGATGCAATACTGTACTGAATGCTGAAAATTCCTTGCTGTATCATTAATACTGTTTTTGGAATAAAGCAAAAATTATTATTATTATTATTACTATACACGTAGTTACGCTCCTGATCAGTAATAAATAACTGAATTCTTCCTGTATCTTTTTATGATATTTATATGCGCATTTTATTTGTGGCTATTTTATTCAACTTTAATCGACATGCTTATCCGTGTTTAACAAGGAAGATGTTTTTCCTTATTTCCCTAAACTTACGTATTTTTTGTCCATTTGCAGTTCGAGAGAGGTTTGAACAGAAAACGTTCATATTTTGAACTTAAAACACAATTTTTCCTATTTAGTTTTACTTGGTTAGAGGAACAGCTAAGATAAAATTTCCACAGTTACTTCAGCATTCTATATAAAATCAAAGTGTAAGATCCAATAAAAAGAATGTGATTTCGAAATAGCTAAATCACATTTTTTCTGAATAACATTTTTTAAAAAACAGAACGTCTTATGAATTTTTAGAAAAAAATTCAGGTTTCTGTAATAGTGAAGTGTTCAGTAAAATGAGTATAAAAAAATATGTACCTTGATTCTGGATTAATTTCACTATGTGAACCAATGTGTTCCTTATCTAAATTTTTATTTCTCTCCGAATCTTGATGAACTGTTTGCTGATGCTGTAAATAAAATAAAAATAAAAAGAGATATTTAGTAAAAGATCACTGCAAACTATAATCTGTAAATATTGATTATCCATTGTTAAATAACTATCTCTGATTAAGAATAAACTTATAAACTAATCTATAAGAGGAATTATTCTACTCATTTGATACTCGAGCATTTACATTGAACTCATAAAGTCTTCTTTCAGGATTTCATCAGGAACCGACCATTGGAAAACATGGGAGTACGGACAGATGTTTTGTCAGCCCAGTTTGGGACTCTTCAGGAGTACGCAACACTGAGGTTCAAACTCAGGACCTTCTGGGACTCACCAGTGACTGGCCTTATTCAGGTAGGTAGTTACCTGGGTTCTAGTGGGAAGTCGTGACCAGTAAGGTACATCAGGTTGCGTGTGAGGACAAATACTCGCCGATAACATTCGTTGTTGGTCACGACATATCATGAATTCGCAGGAGTTGGAATTGATGGACTAGTCATTGGATCGGGTTCCAGTGGCTTAATGGTCTACGAGCTCGCTTTGTGACCAGAAGGTCCTGGGTTCAAACCCCGGCGGTGAGTGAGTGCTGATGAGGAGTCCCAGGTAAGGACGAAACAGTTGTCTTGTACTCTCAGTTTTTCCCATGGTTCTCTAACCGATGTTATTTCATGATGAAATTCTAAAACCACTCAGATCCCTGTAAACTGACACTTGAATAAAACCTTCTTTTTAAGGATGTTTCATAGTAAATGAAAGTTTATTAAGATTGGAAAAGATACCAAGTAGTGCGATTTGATCTAATGATCGTATAACTTTATCATAGGAAATGAACTGTTTGTATTACATCTCAGAAGGCTGAAGGTAATCACTGACACAAAATATAATACTAAAACATTAAACTTCTCCTTATCTTATCCAATTTGTTGTATTGATTCGCCAACTCACTTGTCAGAAGTTGGATTATTCACGCAGTAGTTGATCAGTAATCAGGCAGCCGAAAAATTCTGTTGTTTCCACGGTTAGTGGCTTCAGACGCCTAAGGTAACTCCAATAACGAAGAGACATAAATTTCTTGGGTTGCTTGAATTCCAACCGTTCTTTAGTCGATCTTGTTTCGTAATAGTATTCATCTAAGAATATCTTAGCTATCAAAATGAATTCGGCCTTCTCAAACCCTCAGAAACACTTTCTCAGTTCAATAAACAGACGTACATCCTTCATGTTACAAGCCAATAAAAAAACCAGTCTCTTCTCCACCGCGATCCTTTCCTTCTGAACACTTAGAAAATTCTAGATTCTACAAATATTTTATATCGATTTTCTTCTTCTCAACCGTCCAAGCAGTAGGTGTTCGGATCAACTAACCAACAGGAGCTCCTTGATATAAGATTTGTATATCTAGACAATCAACACACAGATGCTCAAATCAGGGACTTTATCATCAGGCTATTCAGGTCACGACTGGTCTCATGTAGAATTGATTGATGTGTACAGATTAGTTGCCAGAAGATGACAAATGTAAGTGTTTTGACCTAAGTGTTGATCGTAATCTGTCAATAATTTTTACAATTTGGTCAAAATACTGTGTGACACAACAATGCTACATATTGTGAAACAATATAGTTTGAAAATGGACATTTGTGAAGAAGCGCCCTCAAAAACAAGTAACAACAACAAAGCCTTTTTGAAATCATATACTGAGATACAGCGTGTTATCAGGAATTCCGATTTTTGTCAGTTTACATGAATAAATAAATTCCATATGCGTAATGTGGCTGGAAAAATTGAATTAACCTCTATTGGAATGATCGATAGACTAAGTTAGCCACACTGATATTGGCTTACTACTGGGGTAACAAATGATTCGCTACAGTCATGTATACCGACGCCTTTCTCAAACTTCGACTGTGAGCAAAATATCAAAAGACAGAAATATTGGTGAAATCTGTCTGTGGTACGAAAAAAGTATCATAATTAATGGAATCATCACAATATTTAAATAAAAATATAAAACAATGGGTCATCTCAGAATGATATCAATGTCACTAGACAGATAATAACTTCTTACTGATTCCTCTGGGAATGCCAATGAGGTATAACTTCAAAAATAGTTGTAGAAAACGTCTTTCAGAACACCTTGTCTATTGGTTCCGAAAATGTGAGATTTGGAAGGTTTGAGGATGTGAAAGTAGATTTTTACCAGGATATTGTAGTGTTACTCTAGGAAACACGACTAACAAATGCCTAAAATAGGGAAACATTAGTTATGGATTATCTATCAATTGGTACAAAATACGCTATACACTTGTATAACCAAGCTGGTGAGACGCATTTCGCTGTTGTTTCTAGTAGTCAGAACTGTGATGGGGCATTAGGCATATTTGAATTAGGAGATCATAAGTTCCGTTAGGACTGGCAATATATACTTTCAGTTGGAATATTGGCACATGACCTCTCACATTTAATAAAAAGAGGCGTGTCTTAATTAATACTGTATGTTTCATCAACGTGATAATGTACTGCCAGGTTTCTACAGGAAAAGTCTCACTCTTCACTTCAGTCTCCTGTTAGAAAAGTAAAGAATAACTTGAAAGCAGTTTAACAGCTTACCATAATCTGATCTGCCTGTGTGTTATTTTCAAAAGTGATAAACTGATCACTTTTGATTAACTCGTTCAGGTTTGTCAGTCCATCTGATTTGCCTGTAGTTAAAAAGTTTGGCAAGTCAGTGTTAAGCTTTGATAAAAACTCTTTTAAATCAACTGATTTCCATTCTTCGTAAATTGAATCAAACTGCTCACTGACCATCTGCAATTGAGCCATACGTCGACGAGATAATTCAAGACGTTGTGACCACTGGTCAAATTGAGGATTAGACAACGGAGTAGGATTACTTGATTTCTGAACATTTTTTACACCCATACAGCTTTCACCACTCATATCACTTGAAATTGAGAGATTGCATTCTTTAAAAGATGTAAGAAAAGTAAGAAAAGAGTCATTATTGTGCCAGAATAAAATGTACAGAACTTTGAATGTTCTTCTTTTGTTTCCACTTTAAGGTATCACTACGTTTACCGACTCGTAAGAAGAAAACCTGCTCATTTGTGTAATAGAGCTAGGAAAGTATTCACTAGCTGTTAGCATTATGATTTGTTTGATAACTCAGAGATTTTTAGGATAAAAGTGCAACAAATTAGCTTCAATAATGTTAGTTTTTACACTTTACAGATTTGTTAATAATACATTCCTTAGCTAGTGAATTAAACAATAAAATGGAAAGTATTCGTGAAGTGTTCACACAAAGTGATTAAATAAGTGAAAAAAATTAACACTAGATTGAATTAACTACATATAAACTGACTCATACTTAAAGAAATATTATCAAATAGTGTAAGAAAACATGAAAATTGAATCCAAAACAAATAAGTTCTATACAAAAGGGAACCCAGAAAGGGTTTCATAGATTTTATCGATAGATTTGTTCTCTGAGTTGAAGTTTCGACTGCAAAAGGGTTCTGTATCTTGGCAGGTAGTGTCATCATTTCTTCATGAAGAAGTAAAGTGAACTGAATGAGTATGGATACTCAAAACTAGGTAATCATAAACTAATCTTCTTTGCACCACTAAATAAACCATTTCCCCACCCTTACAGCATCAAACTTTATTGTTATTGTATTTCTTATATTATAATCCTCTCAATTTTTTGTTTTGGACATAATTTAAGCTGTTATAACTGGTAATTTTGTATTTCCCTTCACTATACTATATCAACAGAACATTAGATTCAATAATCTATAACATGCTAAAGTTTCCAAACTGAATCGACAATACTGTTTGAAACAAACTCACTGTTATTATTACTATTATATTTAATAATCTCAATTCGTGCTTCGAATATTTTTGACTTTATATCGTAAATGTCGACAAATTCCTCCGGTTAATTTTGTTTTAATTTTTAATTTAATTTATATTTTGAGTAAATCAGATGCAATATTGTGACAAATACTGAGAATTCCATTCTGTATTATAAGTTTTTGGAATAAAGTAGATTATAATTATTATTACCTTGTTTTAGTATAATGTAACTGAACTTTTCAGGAGTAAGTGGTTGTAATCTGAATTTGATTATTAAGTAAGACCAGATGATATAGCGGTTAGGACGCTCGCCGAAAATGCACATGGTTTTGGGTTCGATCCCCGGCCGACTCACTCCTTTACCTCGCTGAGCCAGAAATAATGCTGTTAAAGAGGAAAGGTTGGGCATGAGGCTAGCAACACCATCCTGTAAAATAAACACTGCTACAGAAACTTCAAGCCACTATCTTGAAGCTCTATGTTCCACTGGGGAACGTGAAGGAAAAAAAAGACCAGGGTAGTCAGATCATGATAAACCTCATCAGTCCATTCAAAGAAGACAGTCTAACCAATTAAAATAAACACTTTCAAGTAAAGGAGATAAGCCTTAAACTTGACTGAATACCTCTTTGAGGAAGTCGAAGGCCAAGTGTCACCAAAGTCAACTTCAGAATATATCCATATTTCCTCTAAACCTCTGGTCGAACTGGAGTCAGGTAGAGTGTCTTCGTACAGTGAGTTTATTTTGATATAAGGATAAAACCTGGGCACTGTGGTAGAGTATAACTCCGTTATGGATAAAATTTTATTTTGATAAAATCACAGTGTCATGCAGTAATATTTACTGATGACGTTTCGAGCGCGAACTATTGCTCATAATCATATCAAGGCACTCACACAACATTGTGTGTAATTTTATCAAAATAAAATTACATCCATAATGGAGTTTATTTTGATTTGTGTGAGCTGCTGATACGCTCGTGGCGATATCTGCCATGACACTGGAATGCCTCCCAACAAAAATGTTACTTAGAAAAACACCTGAATCCGAATACAAACTTATTTTGGGAATATTTTTTACATTAAAAGTGTTATTTAGTATTGATCCTTTATTTATCGTGCAAACATATTCAAATGGGTTACACTATTTGACGAAATAGAACTGTCACAACTGAAAAAGAAGCAAGCCAACTTTGTTAAAAATTAAATATGTTGAAAGGATTCAACTCTTTACTATCCAGAAAGAATTCAGCGTCACTTCTTAACTACGTATGATATCCACTTGGAAATATTAGTAATAATGCATTGGTTCTTAGATGAATTTTATTACAAGTATTTTTGACTATTCTTTTCAAATCAATAATCTATTATGCTTCTATTATACCTAAACTGAAGTGCTGTGTAAATTCAAATTAATTTACCATTATTCAGTATGTGTACTTAATGTGTAATAAAAAATAGAAACAGTAACTACAAAACACTTATAGAGTATAGTTAGGATAGACCAGCTATCTTTGTTGGCTGTGAAGTTATGATTGATGCATGCGCTGACATAATAACCTGACTGGACAGTTTTTAATTGGTTTATTTACGAGGATCGTCAAGGTCATAGAATCAGTCAGACATTGATTATTACATATGGTTTAAATTTCCATTGATTTGTAAGCTATGGAATAATGAAGGTTGTTGTTGTCGCAATTAAGTCTGACTTTCGTGTCTAACTCATTGTGGGGAATATTTCCATGTGATTATAGTGTCGTGACCGGAGGCCAATTCTAGTCAGGACATACAATAGCCAAAAAATCACCGATTATTATTCCCTTGAATTCCAAGTGGAACATAGGACTTCAACAACATATCTCTACTTTCTTCTGTTTTCTGCCATTCTCTTCATCTGGGTCCACGATTGACCATAATCTCTCATCTCCTCCTCGCACGATTCTATCCATGTCACCCTCGCACTGATGACCCACTCGTTGCTTCCCATTCGGTTAACTTGCATTTAACAGATAGTTTATGATTTTTTTCGTACACCAGACGGTGAAACATAATGATAAAGCTCAGTGGTTGAAACAACTACTATTTTATGTAACTTAGTAGCCACTTACGTTTCCGTGTAGTTGGCGATGAGCCACACCTATTGTATGAGGAACTTAACGGCCGCTCACGATTTGGTAGGTGGAATGGGGTTCGAAACTGCGAATCAGAAGCTCGAAATCAAAAGCTTAGACTGATACGACACAGCTCCCTTTCGTGGAATTCAGTTTAGTAAGCAAATTAAAGGGTGTTTAGCAATTAAGCAGTCAGATTAAGGCACAGAGTTTCTTACAGGTGGTTAAAGTAATGTTAGAAAACAAATTTTCAAATAATAGTTTCCTAGTTGACGAGAAACATTAGTTTAGTTGAGGAAAATGTATAACGCACAATGAGGTTCAACTATATGTATATTTTGATCCTATTGTCATCACTTATAAATTAAACTAACTATTTTTATGTTTAATCCATGCACTTTTTCAACTTCACTTTTCAAGTGATGTCGCTATTTATCCTAGTATATAGAAATATTACATAGTTCTATTAAGTGTAGTGACATCAAAATTTCTTAAGGCTACAAAATACACATGAGACCTCGTTTTGGTCAGTGAGCAATAGTGACAATATTCCAAATTTACTGGTCATTCTCAACAAAACTGTAACTGTCATACACTAAATGAATTTACTCTGATATTTTACAGTGTGGGTCGGTGGCATAGCGGTTAGGACGCTCGCCGTCCATGCACATGGTCCAGAGTTCGATCCCCGACCGACGCACTCATTTACCTCGCTAACCCAGAAATAATGTTGGTGAAGAGGAAAGGTTGGGCATAGGGCTAGCAACCCCATCCTATAAAATAAACACTGCTACAGAAACTTCAAGCCACTAGCTTGAGGCCCTATGTTCCACTGGGGAACGTGAAGGAAAAAAAATTTTATAGTGTAGGGATTTTTAAAATCACCATATATGCAACTTTATGGTGCAACTTTGTTCAGCGAAGAAATATTTCTTTTCAACGACTTCATTTTCAAGCCGTACAGTCGTATTTACATTACGGTAAAAGGCATTCAGTGGCACTAGAAATTGTTCAGTCAATATACATATGATAAGAATAAAGATAGTTAAAATGATGTATTAAGTGGGGGGGGGATGTAGAGTTGAAGTAGATGAATTTCAAAACTTTTAAAGATTATCAAATGAGTGAATTGTTGTTAAAATTTAAAAATACTGGGTCAATCGTTGCCATAAAATTTAATAGTACGATGATGATAACATTAAAAACACGGCGAAGGTGAAGTCAAGTGGAATGAATTCAAGTGGTAAAACAGAATAAAGTAAAAGAACATTACAATGACCTAGGTAAAGAAAAGAGTTTAACAAAATGTTTTTGAACACATAATTTAGGTTTTTGTTCATGTTTAGCTAGATCTTCAGCTGTGTGTGAGTAGATAAAACGTAAGCTCTTGGAATGGTTGTGTTTGATCCTATAAATAACTTTGAAGGATAAATCCTGTGGGGCTGAGTGAACTGACTCCAGAAGGTATTCACAAATTGAAAACTTTGTCGTCCTTTGCTCACTTTTCATCAACCACACCGGGTAGTGTTCGGCTACGCGTTTACAGAGAACATGCTTACAACGTCCAATGTAATCTCTAAAAGTTTTGTAATTCACCTGCCTCCGCTTCACCCCCTTGATACATCATTTTAATTATCTTTATTCTTATCATCTGTATATTGACTGTACAATCTCGAGTGCCATTGAATGCCTTTTACCGTAATGTAAATACGACTGTATAGCTTGAAAATGAAGTCGTTGAAACGAAATATTTATTTGCTGAACAAAACTGTTTTTCTTCATATGAGTATTTATAAGACTTTGGCCCGAGCCAAACAGATGTATGTTCCTTTCTTATACGTAATAATCTCTAAGGCGTATCTGAAGAATTGAAGAAAGCTCACGTTGGCTCAGACTAACATTATCTAGTACTGAAGTCATTTAAATTGGCCACGAAATTATTTAGATTATATCGGTGCATGTATTAATAATGTCGTTTTATAAATTTTGAGTTGTAC